TCAGCTCCCCGTGCCCTGCCCCGAAATACCCGAAAATCAACCGCAGCAGCGCCCGCACGCGCTGCCCGTCTGCAACAAGCTACGTTGTAGGCGATGCTGGCTGTGCACAGGCCTTGCAGTAGTTACAAAACCTGGTGTGCATCTTTCCTCCCATTTAATCAGTTTAGAGGACGCTTTAGTGCATTTAGAACATGCAGAACATTAGTTCCACCAGTAACTATTCAGGGCTGAGAATCCATTTTTAAAACCTCTTGCTGCTGTGCAAAGATGTTCAGATACATCTTGTAAAGTTATATTTACTCTTCTGCCAAGAAGGATAGAATAAGATATGTTAGCACTTTAAAAAAAGCAGTAAGATTTTTCTACACAAAGACAGTGATTTTTTTTTTGTTACTTTCATGAGTCATCTTCACTCTTTAGAGCAGGACTTCAGTTGAGTTGATGCAGCTACGTCGTTTTCCAATGCAGAGGAAGTGCTCTTCCTTTCAGAGCATCTGCAAATAACTGGATGGTACTGGGAGAGTATCTGCTTCCAATCTTCTGGCAATCAAGTAATCTGAATGTACTTGTGGGAATTTGCCTGCATATTAAGTTTTACTTGTTGTGGCTACGTTTTTATAAAAACAAGTAATTGAAAAGCAGCCCCTAAGTGTGTAAGACTTCATTTCAACTCTTAATAAATGGAAAACTATATAGCATGGAAAAAAAAAAGGTGAAAAGGTGCCATGGGGTTGGCCTCAGGCAGCCAGTGCTGAGAAGTCATTGCCACATATTAGCCATTATGGTAGCCATTTTTTAAGTGCCAGCAGCTTCTCTTCGGGACCCAGGAGTTAGATAAGGGCCCTTTCGAGCTGGGAACTAACCATCTCCCCTCCTCCGAGGTGAGTTTTGAAAGATGCAGCTCGCTGGGCAGCTGCATGAGCACTACCCGTGATCTTCCTCCCGGTCCCCACGTGCGTCGGAGCGGGAGGCTTCCCCCTTTTTGCTGGCAGCACTAGCACACATGGATGAAAGTAACTGTGCAGCTCTAGCCCGAGGGTGTTGACAGGGGAACAGAACTACAAAAGGAAACTGAAGATTTTAGCTGTGATCTCTTCTCTCATTCAGTTAACTTGGAAAAGGCCATCAACACAGAGGAAACAGATTGTTTTGCTTTAACTAACCTTTCACCTGTATGCATCTGAAATGCAAACTATACTCCAGTCTGAATAGACCTGTGGTATCTTAACAGGTTTTTATAGTGTAGATGACACTATTTCTAATGGAATTTTCACAGATGAGCTGAGTTCCTGGATCCAGCAGTCTTTTAAGCATTATGTTACCCAAGAAGCTAAACAACACTTTAGTGATTATGACAAAGATGGTGATGGATTAGTGTCTTGGAAAGAGTATAATATACAAATGTATGATCGTGTAATTGATTTTGATGAAAACGCTGTCCTGGAGGATCAAGAAGAAGAATCATTTCGACAGGTAAAATGTTTCAGCATCAGTTTCTGTAAGCTGTTAGCTATTGTGTTTGCTTATCATAGTGGAACAAGATGGGTAGAGAAACCATAGCAGCTGGCATATATTTTAATGCTGCTGTCTGAAATGGGGGAGTAATCAGAGGAAAGTAATGGAGTATAAAGCTGCTACCAACAAAACAGAACAAAATCAAACCTCCTGGGTGTATTGTGCAAGCTGAGTGCAATACAGGTATATTGGCAGTGTTACCACAGAATGTAGTCTCTAGCAATCATCTTAAAACAAGACAGGCACCTACTAGACTAGGCCTGTACCCAAATCTGTCACCACCCTGCCCACAGTAGTGGCCAGTAGCACTGATTTTGGAGATGGAGCAAACCTTTGTATGGCTTAGCCCCCTTTCTTGCACTGGTCTATCTGCTTTATCAGTAATTTCACAGGTGCCCAAAGTGGGGTGTCTGTATTGTCTGCTTTTAAAATTTTCTGACCATAGATACCCTAAAATCCTATAATAGAAAGAAATTGTATTTTTAAAAACATTTTTGGCAAATAAAATACAACTCTGGTAGATGAACCAGGATGTACAAACAATGCAAAGTTACAGATTTATCTCATATATAAAAGGAAATGCTGAAGAGTAGGAAGAGGAAAGAGAGTCAGTGAGGGAGGATACACCAAGAATCTCCTTGCAAAACATGTTTCCTTTGAAATTTTGCATTTCAGTGAAGCACAGAATGAATAAGGTTGGAGGGGACCTTTGGAGATACCTAGTCCAACCTCCCCACTCAAGCTGGGACACCCAGAGCACGTGGCACAGGGTGGCATCCAGGTGGGGTTTGAACTTCTCTGGAGAAGGAGACTCCGCAGCCTCCCTGGGAAGCCTGTTCCAGTGCTCTGTCACCCTCACACCCTCATACATTTATAAGTTCATGCAAAAAATTACCCAAGAGAGTGAATTCGTAGACTCCTCTGACCAGGATTTTTTCACTAGCCTTTGGCCTCTGTTTCCAATTAGAAGTAGTTGAAAAGTAGTAGAAAAGGTTTTGACAAAACCGAAGCCAGAACGGACAATAGGCAAGGAATCCTGCACAGCAAACAAACCAACAGCTTTTGAGGTCACTTGGCTGAATAATTACGTAGCTTTGAAGTAAAAACGAAATCAGCAACTAGTCAAAATACTGATCCTGTATTTCAGATGAGGCTGACATATATGCTGACTTCCTCTATTTATTTTTTCAGTATGTTTTTTTTATGCTATACTTTGTGCTGGTTGCTTGCTAGGTTTTTGTGCTTGCTGACTTCCTCAACATGTTTTGGAAAGAGACAAATTAGTAAACTTGGACAAGCATCATGTGTTAGCCATCTTCAGCATTTTCCTTAATTTTGGAATGTAGTGATCCTGCTTTAGCTAAAATGGAGAATTTTGATTATGGTATTGATTTAGAACTGATATTAAGTAAAAATACAAAATTGCCAGAAGGTGGCAATCTTGTTCACCACTTCTCAAGAAAACCCTGAAAAGCAGATCTGCTTCCTCACTTGTTCTGGTTTATTTTGCAGTCCAGTATTCTCTGTAATCTGCCCTTCTGAATTGCCTGGCTTGGCCAAGAGTTTTAAATGTCTCCTTAAATTGGAAAGAAGGAAGTTTTTACCTGATTCTTAGGATAAAATTACCTCAGTTTAATGTGCTGCTCTCTTCCTTCTGTTTTTTTTTTTTTAAAGTGAAAATACAACATCAGTATAATATAGGCAGGCAATGTGAAACAATCTAATCTGCTTAATAAGTTTCCTAGCTGTACACCAGTTGCTGTAATGTTGTTTTTCCCCTTCATTAAGAGCTCTAACTAAATCCTTTTTCTAAGCTTCATTTAAAGGAGAAAAAGCGTTTTGAAAAAGCTAATAGAGATGATGTTCCTGATCTAAATATGGATGAATTTGTTGCTTTTGAACATCCTGAAGAAGCAGAGTACATGACGGTAAGATCTGGAGGATATTTTTAGCAGCCTGTATGTGCAGAGGCAACATCTCTTTAACGCGTGTCTACTGCAGGACACATGCCTTTGAGCAGCAATGAATATTTTGCTCTTGCAGACCAAATCAAAATTCAGATACCTTGTTGTGGATTCAGTACAGGAGTTCGGGAGCTGGAGCAGTAGTTTGGTGCTTTTCTTTGAACTGCATTTTCAAGAACTGGGTTTGCACAACTATGTCAGGCTTTTGAGCTTGGGCTGCAGAGCCGTGCCTGAACTCTGTTACGTTTGAAATATATCAGTAAGAATTCGGTTTGAGGAAATTTCATGTCTAGTTCAGACTGTAATTATATTTAGAGGGATTTATAAGGAAGATTTTTTGGTGCAGGGAAAGGCTAGGTGCCAGTTATTCTCCCTTTGCTTAAAAGTGAGAATAACTCACTTTTTCTGAACCCCTCTCCCCCCCCCCCAAAAAAAAAAAATCAAATTAGTCTAAATTGAATTTTAGCAGTGTGATGGTATTGACTGTTTTTGGAGGATGAGTATTTCGGCCAGGAGCACTTGGTCACTGGTCGTATGTTTCGTCAGTGCTGGGACTGTGGGAGTCGCTCCAGCTGACTGCTCAGTAGTGACATTTGGCCCCGGGTAGGAGCCACTGCTGCCATCCTGCCCCAGAGCTTGGGCTGTGTGAAGCTGCAGAGCCAACTGCCAGGAGGAGCCCCATGCAAACACAGCCTCTGTTTGTACCGACATAAACAATGATTATGGACCAAAAAAAAAAAAAGGAAAACCAGAAAAATGGGCACATGGGCTTCACAGGAAAGCACAGTACCAAAAGACTGAACATTTTTTCTGAAGATTTTATAAAATTAAAAGACACAAAGCAAAAGCACTGAATGAAACAAGATAAATAAGACAATATGGCTTTGGCCAACTTCATTTCTTTCTCAGTTACCTGTAGTTTTTGAAGTGTATTGAAGGTTTCCAACTCCACGTTCACCCTTCAGATTTGCTTTTAGTAAAACCAGCTGTCCTAAACTCCTAAGACAGGAAGCAGATATTGGAGCAGTTAGAAAAGCAGAGTTAAAGTGAGTGAATTTTTGGTTTATTGCTTTAAAACGTTTGCTCTATTGGTCTGAAATGTTTTGTATATATAGCTGTTTCTCTTAATTATGATACTGATAAGTTTTCAGAAATTAATATTTGCTTTTTGTATCTATATATGCAAAAGGACTTTGTCATTGAAGAGGCTTTAGAAGAACATGATAAAGATGGTGATGGATTTGTTAGCCTGGAAGAATTCCTTGGTGATTACAGAAGAGACCCAAGTAAGAAAAAAAGGAGAATGGAAGAAGGAACTTAACAAAATTTTTAGAATTGTATCCACATTTGTTTTCAGCTTTTACTATCTCCATCAAAAGGTTCTGAGTAACATCCTATCTTTAAAAATAACTGAGTTTGCTGGTACTGTGCATAGCAGATCATTCCTTCAGTCTGCTCTGTAGATATTTGGCAACAGTTTTACTCTTTCCTTGTGTGTTTTGTTTTCTCCAAACACCAGGCTCCATCACCAGGTATGTAGCTGAAATAAGCTGTGGTTTGATTAAGTGAACACACCTAGAAACTAGCCAGGATGAAGTGAGGTTAAACTTTCCTGATCTTTGTCATGTGAAGGAGGCTGCTGTGTGCCCACATTGTTCCCGGTGGTCCTCTAAACACGTGGAGGCTGCAGCGGGCTGAGCTGCATACTAACGGCAGGCAGTGAGCGTAACGCAGGCAAGGTGAATGCTGGAAATGCAAAATGTGCCTGTCGGACACGGCGCCTCTTCCTGCTCGCCTGTCAGCTCTCCCCACAAGTACAAAAATACCCACGTGGCAGCATGTTCTGTATTAAGTCAACTTTCTGTCCTCCCAATTTGGGTAATTGTGAAGGTGATAACCTAAGGTCAATTTGCTTAGGAGAAAATGTGAAAATAGTAGGGTTTCGTTTCTTTTTTTTCTTCTATTTCTTTTAAATAAAGAATCGCTTTAGACTTGACAAATGTTTCTTTTTAGCTGCAAGTGAAGATCCAGAATGGATACTTGTTGAGAAGGACCGATTTGTGAATGACTATGACAAGGATAACGATGGGAAACTCAACCCTCAAGAGCTTTTGTCTTGGATAGTACCAAATAATCAGGGTATTGCACAGGAGGAGGTATGTGTTTAATAATTACTGTTCAGATTTAAATTAAATGGAGTAGAATTCTGAAGTTATCACAGCGTAAAGTGATGAACTGATTCTGATACTGATTTATTGTATCATAGTAGTTGAAAAAGAATGTGTAGATCTTAGTATATATTTTAAACTTTTTTTTTAGTTTGACAAAGAATGCAGGTCTTTAAAATATATAAAGCAAATTTAAAATATTGTATGAATATTTGGAAAAAATTATATAGCACAGTACTATTCTGCATGTTTGAACCGTTTTATCTGTTTTGACTTAAAAGTACAATATTTTAAACAATTATTTTACAGTTATTATACGTAAATCTAATGAAGTATAGTAATAAAAGAGGCTGTTTACATATTAATGGCACAATTTCGAAAGGAAAAATTGATCATGCTACTTCCAACTCGATAAATTGCTATAATCTGTAGTTATAAAACTTGTATTTGCATAAATACAAGAAAATTAAATTATTCCATAATTCAAGATGCTGTAATGCAAACTTTAAAATGATGATAACCAAAATGGTTTAATCAGAGGCTGAATGCCTTAATGGGTTTAAGTGCATTCTCATTTTAGTTGTCTTTTTTTTCCCTAGCAGGCAGTAGAAGCAGTTAATGTTTCAGAGCAACCTATTTTAATAATAAGACTTTACAGTAGCTGACTGAAGAGAGGATTTCTGCCTTTCTGCTAATAACTTTTTATCTTAATTAGTGCAAATCTGTTTCCTTTGAAGGATTCTGGTATTCAGAAAGGCAGGAACACCGTGTCTTCCCATAGCTCCATAATTGCTCCTGCAGCCGGGGGACAGCTGGTGTTAGACAGCGTTGCCCATCCGCTGCGTTGGGAGCATCTCATTTCCGAAGTCCCTCCTATTACTATTTCAGCTCTGTTGATTACAGAAAAAGCAGCTCGGCCAGAGCCCAGCTTTCACTGTTCACATATCTAACCTCCAGGCTGCAAAATTGCTCTGGTTGTATTTTTGTAAATGGGATCTGTAAGTCTTTGCACTTTTTTTTAAACATACGTGAGCTCATAGGGATGGTTGACTCTTCATAGCAACAATACCGTGTGTAGTAACTGAAATGCAAAGACCCAACACTACCAAGAATTTATGTTTTCTTGTTTGCATATGCTGTTTGCATAGCAATTTGCTACTGATTCAATTTATGTCTGAGGGCAAGGACATGGTACTATAATAGTTCCATTCTGCAAGAAATAATTTTGTTTTTATTTCTTTAATGTGCTATTTTCTGTATATTAACGTCAGGGCCTAGCCAAGTCACCTAAAGAAAAGGTGGCATTGACTGAGTTGTAAGTTGATGTTTGGAAAGCTGAATATTGCAGTTTCATCTGGGCTTTAAAAAAAAAAAGACTTGAGAAATCTGGTGGCTGAAAAATACAAAACAACAGAGCTGCTGTACTAGGTTGATAGCTTTGAGCTACATAATACATCTTTTAAATAAGCCACTTAGGTAAATTTTCTGCAATTGCTTTTTTAACTGCTGAACTTCATCCTTTTATGAATAATAAATATTTGAGGGACATTTTGAGAACTGTTTAAACTCGCAGTATCATCTGACATTGTCATGTTTCAGTATCAAGAACATTGTTCAGCAAGGCCAGGTTTTGCTTGTAGAAACGAAGGAAACGAATTGTCCTGCCCGCCTGGAGAGGCGCAGGGCGAATCCGTGACGGAGGGCCAGGCGGGCGCTCGTGAGCTCGGACGGTGGCCGTGACGCCTGCGGGGACCCGCGCGTCCCCGCCGCGGTGCCACACGTGCGGCAGCGCGCGGAGGGGCCCCGTGCGGCGCTGGCGATTCCTGCAGCCGCGCGCGAGGGACGGGGCAGGGCACGGACGGCTGCTGCGTCCAGGGAGATTTGTTTTGATACCGTCTCCTGCTCTCAAAATACAGCTAATGGGATTAATATTGATTCGTTGCTTTTAATTGATTGTGAGGGTAGAGGTTGGATTTTATGACTCCGCCACCAAATAAAAAGGAGGACGAAGAAGCAAAACGAGATAAAAAGACTCGGGTCTGAAAGTAAAATCTGTGGTGTAGTGACAGGATTTGACAAAGCCATTCCAAAAGTGTATTTATAAATACCAGTATCCATATAATGCAACATGTCCATTTATTTTAAAGGCTCTTCACCTTATTGAAGAAATGGATTTGAATGATGATAAAAAGCTTTCTGAAGAAGAAATTCTGAAGAACCAGGATTTGTTTCTTAACAGTGAAGCAACAGATTACGGCAGGCAGCTTCATGATGAACATTTCTACCATGAAGAACTTTAGATTATTTATTTTATAATCTATATTTCTTCCCTTTCTTTCATTTGAAGCTTTTGTTAAAAGAACCCACCTTTTCAGCTTTGTTGCAAGTTTTATGCTGTAATTATAATAGACTAAGGTTTGTAAATATATTGCATTTAGAATGTAATTACCCTCCTGCAGATTTCCCTAGGCCTCTTGAAAATTGATCTTAAATGTTTACTTCCAAAATGATATAGCATTGGGAAAGAAACTACTTCAAACGTCATACTGTATTGTGAAGAGTTATGCTGCTGTACTTGGGGAAAAATGGAGAGTCCACATGATTCTGAAAGAATGCAAAACATTCTGAGACTAGCTTTGTTTTTTGTTTTTTTTTATATGAGTTTAAGTGGGGAGGGCTGGGGGGAACGCATAGTGTCTGTATTAGCTGTGTTAGGTGGAACACCTAGAGGAATGCCTCAAATGTTTAGGAGGTTTCTGTTTAATTTGAAATGGTTTCTACAGGGAGTGCTATTGTATTATAAAAACCATGTTGTTTTTACATCTACAGGACTTTTTTTTAAAAATGTGCAAATCTAAGCATTTCAATGCAGTGGGTATTTACAGTGTCAAAGCTCTCTTCATGGGTTGGATTAAAACAATCGACTGTTCTGTCTTCCTGTATTTTCTGCATTTATTCCTTACTGTGGATCACCCTTAGCAATACACTGAAAGGGGAACTGTGTGCAGCAACATATTTACTGGGGAATCACTTCTCTGAAATGATGGCTGGAGTATTTAATGTCACGTGAAGGGAATAATATGTAGCCTTTGGCAACACTCTTAGCTTTTCTAGACTGAACACCTGCTATCTGATCTAGGAGTGAAAGGAGATTCAAAAATAATGAGATTCCATTTAGTTTTTTGAGCCACCTTCTTTAAAGTGTGATGTGTTTTTCTTTTTTGTTTTGTTTTCATGTGGCATGTATGGGTGTTGTAGTAATAACCTCTGAACGTTAACTTCAGCGGGAAGCGCTGCCATTCTCGCTCATAAAGGTGAGCCCTTTCCAAGGGGGTGATTGTGTGACCGTTTGAAAAGTAATGGCAAGAAAGATTCCACTTGGCAAATCACATATGTTCACTTTTTGTCTGCTAGAATGAGCTGAATATTCCAAACACAGTTCACAACACACAGTGCAATTCACGTGTCAGAGTCCATCACAAATCATATTTGCTTCTTGTTTTCAACAACTCATGTTAGATATTACTGCATTTTAGCCTTCTGTAAGATGGAGCTGCAGCTGTCATCACTTTGCAGCTTTTGCTATAATTTTATTGGCGTGGAAAACTCGAGTGCTTCTGAGGGAAACAATAGAATTATACTTGTTAATGTAGCTGGAATATAGATTTGAAGCAGTGCTAAACTCAGTCATTTAATAAGGTCATATCCTATTGAAGCTTTCTATAATTCCTAGGGTGAATTCATGTAGACTTCTTTTGGCTTCTGATAATATTCTTAAAATTAGGCTGCTTCTCCTTTAGGCTCAAAAGCCTCCTAGTGCTTTCTTTCATAAATCACAGCCTTTTAAATATTTGTGGCTTTCGATAGTTCCATCTCGTGTTCAGGGTGCCCAAATTGGCAATGTGGCCTCTCTATTCAGCCCTGTCTGTCCCCATTTTCTAGAAGCTGCACGAGAACGGTGAGAGGCGGCAGGGCTGAGAGGCCGGCCCTGAGCGAGGGGTTGGCGGCACCCAGCGCTTCTGGCCTGGGCTGAGAGGAGACACAGTGAAGTAGAATGGCACCCGCGGCTCTTTCTTACGGCTCTTTGGCTGGAGCAAGCGCGGCTTGCTTTAATGAGTCAGAGGAAATGCTCTTTCTTAACGGTCTGCCGCGGCAGGGCTCGTACGTAAGCGTAACTGCCAGCTCTGAATCTCCGGTGAGCAGAGGCCACAGAAGTTTCCCCAGAGCGACTTGCCTGGCCCTGCCCTTGCGTTGCCACCTCACCCTATCCCGTAGAGAAAAATCAGCGTTTTGCCTGAAGGCTGATAGCAGTATCTGCTACTCTAATTGTAACTTCTCTTTTTCTCTCCCATCACAAGCTTTACCAAGCAGACAAAAACATGTTCCAGAGCTGTTTTAGATGCTAAGCTCAGATTCGGCTAATTCCACATTTCAATCCAGTATTTGCTTTGGAAGGACTGAAGGTCCCCAGCCCAGTACAACTCCTCTCACTTTGTGAGCAGCACGCACAGAACAGCCCCAGTTCAAACACTGAAGCAGGTAAAGGCACTTTGTCTGCACACAACAACCACTCCGATTTCATAGGTGCAGACTGAGCCTTCCTGCTGGCAAGGAAACCTGCTTCTCCAGAGACATCAACATCCTCAAAATCAGTTATCCCGATTCAGACTCCAGCCCTTTGGGAATACGCATTAGGATGATTCCTTTAACAGCCTCTAAGTAAGAGAGACCTTCAGAGGAACAAAACACCAGCAACAGTCAATGAACAGAAGAAAACTCTCCTGTTTGCTCCAAAATCCTTCCATTCATTAAATCAAGGATCCAGCAAAATTGGATTTCTAAACAAACATGGCATGTAAAATGTCAGGCGAACAGTGCAAAGGGAGATTAATATGACAGCAGCTAGATGTAGTACCAATATTATAGAGCTTGGACTTGAAAATTTTCCAGAGCATAAAGCAGCTTGTACATTTTAAATCTACAAAAAAGCATCCTGCCAAACATACAATTCATTTCAGGGGAAATGGATGGGTGACAGTACAAGCAAAATTACCCTGGCAGTATAAATAAGCGAGGCTTCTCAGAGGTGCATGATGAAACGACATGAGGCAACAGTGACACATTTCAGCAAGGGAAAATCTGATTAGATGAGAGAAGTTTGAACGTACCAGTGATGAAGCAGCAAGGGAGGGCCTGGAGGGACTGAGAAGGTGCTTCCATCTGGGAGATGCTCTGAGCTCAGGAGGGTCCTGGGCACCGGGATTTACCTCTGAGGTTATCTGGGCTTGGAGCTGGAGGCCTCCGGAGGTCCCTTCCAAGCTACGCTTTTCTTCTGGGGATGGGTCAGGTGCTGGATAGTCTTGGGCAGTCACAGGACCATTACAGGATACAGTGCAAGCTCCTTGTCCTGAATGACACAGGCAGCACAAATAACCATGTACAAAGTGACCCCATTTAACCCTTGGGCAAGGTGTCTTTATTTTTTCCCCTGTATTTTGAGTTATTTGGCCTATGGAGCAGTTCCAGCTTCAAGCAAACCTTGAAGCAAACCTGCATAAACCCCAACTTGCATGCCCAAAAGCAAGGGCAGCAGCGATAGAGCAGAAGGGCGTTAATGAAGGAACCGAGCACAGGGTGTGAGAGCGCTTTGCAGAAAGGGAACTGCTCCAGCCCTGGGCCCGCAGTGCAGCCCTCCCCACGGGGACTCACACACGTGCTGTGGTTGGGCTGCGCGGTGAGAGGGTTTCCAGCCAGACGGTGTCGTTTGTCTGGCTGTTGGTGTATCATTGTCCCAGCCAAAACACCCATGCTAACACCCATTTTAACAGCCTCGTTCTTTTTGTTTCATTTGCCTTTTTTTTTCTTAAGAGACTCCTTGTTCTCTGAAGCTTTTTGTTTCTCCAGTACTACTTCCCCTCCCTCTTTAGCAAAAAAAAAAAAAGAAAAAAAAAAAGGTGAATAAACATGAAGACATGACCGTGATTCACATCATCCCGGGCTCTTACTGACCCAGGAAGGATCCAGCTCCCGAAGGGAGATGCTCACGTAGAGAGCGGAGACACCAGGTTACGGCGGGGACAGATTGGCCCCCAGGCCGGCCCAGACAACTGGCTTTTCGGGCAGCACTGAAAATAGAGCAAAATGCACAGATCATTCTGGATTGATCAAAACATACTGTTGCATTCACCTAAGGCATTTTTCTTCTAAACAAACTCCAGCAGCAACAGCAAACTCTAAGTTTCAAAACAACACTGTAGGTTGGAAATACAATGGTGAGACCCTTGGGCTTAGGCCTCACCATTAGGACGGACTAAGATAAAACATTCTTAAAACACTTCCACAGATCGAATATCAAAACTGTTTCCTGTGGCCTCAAAATGCATTTTTTTTCCCCCCAAGATTTTCACTCCTGGCAGAGAGCCTCACTCGCTTCTTCCCACACCCTCTGCAAGCAAGTCCCAGCCTTCCCCTTCCTCCCGCCCTGTGCTGCAGTGCTTTTCCCCCCAGCGCTCCAGCAGCCAAAGCACTTTCAAATCCCTGGCCCAGCCAATGCCGCCTCCTTCCCCCCAGGGCTGCACTCCCAAACTGGTGCCCACCGTGGTGACCTGCACTGCTGCCTGCAAGAAATCCCTAGTTAAAGAGGCTTCTCCCAACTCCAGCTGTGGGGAGACGCCTCTGGACAGATCATGGTGCCCATGTGGAGCTCAGAAAACTTGAGGGACCTCCTGGCCCCCAGGAAACCTGCTCCGGTGGCAGGACCTCATGGATAGCAATGCAGAAGCAAGGAACCAGCATCCAGGGAAATTCTAAGTGAGTCCCAAGCTGGGATGTGAATAAACCCTACAAAGACACAGTCCTTCATAGGCAGCCGAGGTGAGAGCTTTCTCCTTCCTTTCTCCCCTTTCATTTTTCTGGCCCTATTGAACTCCATGCAAAAATACAGATTCCATAACAAATTATAAGAGGGTGAAGAGAGACAACTTCTCTTGTAGAATAGGGATTTTGAGGAGGGTTTCATGGAAGCATTAGACATATTTTGCTATTAACAGTTACTTGGAAACCTACTCCAATAAACCCATTGCCTATTTAGCTTGTGGTTGGAAATTTTGGTCTAGGCTTCTTGAGCACTTCATCCAGGTCCTAAGAAACCCTTCACTTTCCCACCACGATATCTTCCAAGAGCTTGGATTTTTACTTTTAAGATTCAGGTACCCTGCTTATTCATAGAAATATTTGTGTGAGGAAATGAAAATCAGAGTATTTCTATATGCACCTATAGGCATGAGTGCATGCACATGCTGACTCCACTACACTTAAGACACCTGTTGGAGTCTTGAAAAGCATTTTCAGTTGCAAAATGCAGCTTTGCAGCTACACTTCCTGTGCTCTTGTGTGGGCACATACACATACACACACATCCAGAATGCCTCTCTACCCACCTCAGAAGGTGCTGGAGAAATGTGGCACAGAATTTTGTTCATCTTTGCAACACCACAACGTTACCTCAGCATTTGCCTCTGGTTTCCTCCCGGCCTTATCTGCTTGCACTGCACTGCGCTGGCTTCATTTGCATCCTCATCGCGCGCCGTGGCCGGTCACACCGAGCTGCCGGCGTCTCTC